CAGCGATGAGGAACACCAGCAGCGATGAGGGGAACACCAGCAGCGATGAGGGCCCGGAAACACCAGCAGCGATGAGGGCCCCGGAAACACCAGCAGCGATGAGGGAAACACCAGCAGCGATGAGGGCCCCGGAAACACCAGCAGCAGCGATGAAGTGTGCGACGAGTGTGGGTTTCTTATCTTCCGACGATCAGAAGATTTAGATGAAATGCACCAAAATATTAGAGACAACATGTACAGACAATGCTTCGCTTGTGGCGAAAGGAACGCACTATATATGTGATTGAATTGGGGATGACTCGGAAGACCTGAGAATATTTTCTACGCCTTTAGAAATGTTTATGAAAACATCAACTTTTTTGGTATCTAAATCACGACATTCAATCATTAAGCATTTAATTGTGGAGTAAAAGAAACCAAGAGTTTTATTATATATATATAATCATCTACATCATAGAGAACCAGTAGAGAATGTGTGCGTTATATCTCAGATAATAGATAAGCAAGACTGCGTGTGCGCCTTGGTAAGTTAATAAGAGTCAAAACGCTGGAAAGATTGTATTATTTTACTCCTAGTAATAGTACCTTTCTCTGTATTCTACAATTACTTAGTGGTATCAACTTGCCGAAAATTGGATTTGGTTATTTTCGGAAATACCATTCAAATTTGTCTGGACCTTACGGAAAATTTTACATTTCATTTACATGACATTTCAATCTGTACACGTGCCTTATTTAAGTACTGTTTACACCGATGCCACTTGAACAAATAAAGCTTTCCTCAAACTTACTGAACTACTCCGTATATTTTATTCAAGGGTTGTGTGAATTGATCATGCTGAGGTACATGTCTCTAACATGTTAACAACATATACTAGTAGCTCTTATTAGTAGACTATCGTGGCAGACAGAGAACACTTCGGAAATAGCCAAACAATACCATGCTCATTAATAATGTCCGTGAGAACGGACTATTCTACACATACATGCGTTCGTCTGTTTCTAATTTCTATCATTGCATGGCCATCTGATACAGTAGTGAGAGTCTAAAATGATATGTGTAGAAAAGCTTTCAAAAAGTTTAAACAAAATGTGAAACCTAACTTGAGAGACGATAGCGATGATTTAGGTGTTGTTGCAAAACCCGACTTTATCATCTTAGGCCACAACCACATTAATTTTCGCCTGATTTTGCCTGAAAAAAAAGGACATTTTGTTGCCCTCAAGTTCACCGGTGGTCAACATGCCGAAAATCGGCAAATACGTAGTTGATATCTTTCGGTTCAGAGACCACTGGGATCCAGCAAACTTGAGGCACAATTGTGTTCCTACAAGACAGATAATACGACTAGTTGGTTGTAACATCATACATGTATTTTGTCGCCTCAATTCTTGCTTAACAAGGTTTATGATCTCAAAATTTAAAAATTCGGAATCTTTTTTTTTTTGCCTTGTCTTGTTCTTGCCTTATCGCATTGAAGTTAAAACCCATATTGATAGAATATAGATAAGGTAGCTGAAAATTCTATTCAATAAGTGTTTTAACTTAGGTGTATTGCCAAAGTAATGGACTGTCGGTATCCTACACATACTATTCAAATCTGGTTTGAAGGACAAAGTGAACAATAACAGAAGTAAGACTTAACTTTTCGGTAAAATTTTGCAGTCAATTCTAAAGAAACGGATGCAAGAAGAAGAAAAGTACAGTCAATCGATCTCAAAGGGTTTTAGGGAAAACCGTAAGGGGTAATGGATAATCTTCTTGTATAAATGATTTAACACAAACGTACCTTACAGCACCAAGAGGACGTTTGTATGTCACATTCCTCGACTTTTCTAAAGTATTCGATAGTATTCATGAGCGCACCTGTGGTTAAAGTTGGCACGGGTCGGAATATTTTAAGTAAGAAAATATCAGACACAATTCTAGCATTATACGAAGATGTTACATTATGTACTTTTATTGCACTGGGCAAAATGTTGTCCCATTGTCTGAGAGCAAAGTTTCCCTGCCGCAAAGTTGATACTATTCGCAGGTATTATCATTATGGCCATGCGCAGCGTTCGTCCCCACCAAATGGTTCTACTGCAAGTGGGCCATTACCGCACGCCGGGGACTCGCACATACACAGACAGACCCAAAACAATACATCCATTTTTTCATGGAGGTAAAAAGTCTCAGAGTTTCATATAACTGAACCTGAACGTTCAGCGCAAACTGGCGGTGGTCCGTCGCGAAGCGGCGATTACAAATTGATACAAGTCCAGTCAAGTTTTATTGCACAACAATTGCATTTGATACAATGTATGGCAAGTAAAACTTAATAACTATAAGCTATTTCTACTAGTGGACTAATCTAATTTCAATGCATGTATATATGTTTTAATAATGGAATGTTACATTTCACAATGCAGTGACAAGGTTTCTCTTTTTGTATAGCATTATGTAAATATTGGCCTAAATCATACAGAGTCGGGGCATGATAACAATATGTTGAAAATTTCTCTACTTGTCCCAGGTAGTGTTATTCTATTTTCACATGATATCATTAGTTTTCCTTTCTTCGTTATAGTATCGGATGGAAACTGCAGCATTATAATGATAGTGTGTAAACTGAGCCATGACGGCTCGACATACATATAATTCCGATGTAAGCCACACAATTAAGTGACAATAACTCTCCCTCTCTATTCTCTCTATACGACCATCCAACTTCAGAATATCATCGCATACGTCCTAACAAGCCCACTCTACAAGCCGTCACAACTGCGTCGTAACAATACTAAGGCACTATCGGCTGACAAGAAACATTTCTCAGCCAAGTGCACGTGGGGACAAACTGACAGGAAACAAAACATTACTGATAGCTGAACCGAACGAAATATCAGTGTTCACCCCCGCGATCCCTTCTGCATTCGTCAAACACGGCTATCATGGTATCGAAAGACGAATGGTAAAAACACCACCTAGCGATTCAAGTATATAAAGCATTAGTGCCTTCCGTCAAAAGGCAAACTACCAAAAGGTTATTTGCTAGCGCCAAGGTGCTAATAGCACCCCGCGCAGCGGGGGAGCCGCAGAAACTGCGGCTTTCCATCATACGCTTCTGAATTGGCCCAGTTCGTAATGATCCGTGGCAGACAGGTCTTCTGGGTCTTCTCAAAGTTTTCCAGGAATGTGGGCATAGATATGGGTCAGAGAAATGCCTGTGGACATTCCATTCCTGCGGACAACATGCCTGTACCGTTCCTAGAATTCTTGCAAACTGCACACAATACTGTACCATTAGGCTCCTCCCTGAGACGTCGCCAAAAACATGACAAAACTTTTTTTTCACAGAATACACCACTGCACATCGCCGTACACCATAGGTACCAATCGAAAAAGTTCGCGCAGGCGCTCTTGGGGATGAACTCTGACCTACTTGGCGTCAAGAACGATGCGGGACAGACTGTGGAAAACGTCGCCGCTGACGACATGAAGTTTACACTGATGGGAGCGGCAAAACGCGTCGGTAAGTGTTTGATCATTCCCGTGGGCATAACGTCCGAACGGCTTAACGGCTTTCCTACACACATATTTCGTTCCATTTCGCTCCATTTCGCTCCATTTCGTTCCATTTTGCTCCAATTCGGTCTATTTCGCACATTCTGTACACCGATATTGGGACATATTTCAACCTAGAGAAGTAACATTTGCAAGTGCATAATTTTTACCTTCGGACATTGTCTGCTCTGTTAATTTTTACTCAAACACATTCACACATACATGTACTACTAGTATATGGTTCTAAATGTTCTGAAAGATGTGACAACGCTTCTTTAACAGGGAGTTTGAAGAGCGATAGTCACTTCGAGGAGGACTCCCTGGGCTACTGGGTGTACGCCAAAACAGTTGCCGACATCCTGACGGACGAGTCCACTACCATGCCCATCACTGTGGGCATCTACGCGCGCTGGGGGGCAGGCAAATCCTTCATCCTCAACCAGGTCAAACGTGAGTTTAAGTATACTTCATTATTAGGCCACAGCAAGTAAATTTTATGGATGACATCCTCCGCAGACTCCAAATCTAATGCGAGCGGGCGAAAACAAAACAAGGCGGGCCGAAAAAAACAAGGCTCCTACAATTCAAAATTTTGACTCAATCACTGTACAAATGGTTTTGATTCAGTGGGAACATCACATATGCACAGTCAGCATCATATGTCACTGCATCAAAGTAAGAAACAAAACATTAAATCTGAGCCTTTTCTTGTCTCCTATCTTTATAGTTATCTGACACCCACCTTCCGGCATGGCAACAAACATCTTTGCCCATTTTCGGCTTGTTTTTTTTTTTTTTAAAATCAGGCGAAAATTAATGCGGGTGCTGATGTCATCCATAAAAATTACTTGCTGTGGCCTTATTATGTTTACCGAAGGAAAACATATTGTTTTTGCTCAGTTTATTCTTCTTCTTCTTCTTCTCCAAATAGTGACCTCTCTGACCTGACCAATGACATGATTTGTTGACGTCTGTCACCATGGTGACTGGTGTTGGGTTACATAATGTTGCAATTTCATGGTCTGCACTGCTCCTACTAGTAGTACATGTATGTGAATGTGTGTTGAGTAAGAATAAACAGAGCAGACCATGTCCGAAGGTTATCATTATGCATTTGCTTTGCAAATGTTACTTCTCTGGTTTTTGCTCTGTTTCCTCTTCTTCTCTAAACCAATAAGGTCAATGACAATAACCTGATCCAATTGATTCATATGCAATATATGACTGTGGCCGCTATGCATCAGAACATAATGCCCGCGGATGATTGATTGAATATTTCATTGCGATAAATCATGAACCAAGAGCACTAATTTCGGTACCATTTACCTTTTTTTCAGATGAGATTGATGAAAACATCGCAAAGGCAACAAAACTAAGAGAAATGGAGCGTTATAACTCTAAGATTACAACAAAAAGGAAGCGCTCGATTCCCGTCCCACCGCTGCCGTTCTCGACGTGTGTGAGCGTGTTGGCGTTCCTGTTCTTCGCGGCAACCGTGGTAGGTGGCGTCCTGTCCTACCTGTACTACCGCGCCATCTACAAGATCATACTGATCGTCGGTATAATCTCCACCCACTGCACCCTTGTGATTGTTGCGTACCTGAAGAGGAAGGATCTGAAGCGGATCTTACTGAAGCTGTTTCCTGGATTGCGCTGGACAAGCAGGCACCTTCAGCTGGTCGGGATCTGGCTGGATCTGCTAGATCCGCCGAATCTTGAAACGAATCTTCCAAATCCCGGTCACGTCAAGATCATCCACGTGCAGTTCAACGCCTGGGAGTACTCGGGCTGCTCGGCGCTCTGGGCAGGGATCGTCACCAAGCTGTGTGACGAAGTGGAGGGAGAAATCGGCCCGTGGACAACCCGGCTGTACCGCGCTATCCACGACAAGTTCACGTCGTCTGAGAGACCGCCGGTGACGGGGAGGCTGTGGTTCAAGTATGACATTGTTTAATACCCATCTTTTTATGTTTACCGAAGTAAAACATATTGTTTTTGCTCAGTTTATTCCTCTTCTTCTTCTTCTCCCAATAGTAACCTCTGACCTGACCAATGACATGATTTGTTGACGTCTGTCACCATGGTGACTGGTGTTGGGTTACATAATGTTGCAATTTCATGGTCTGCACTGCTCCTGTCACCATGTACTAGTAGTACATGTATGTGAATGTGTGTTGAGTAAGAATTAACAGAGCAGTCCATGTCCGAAGGTAAACATTATGCATTTGCTTTGCAAATGTTACTTCTCTAGTATTTACTTTGCTATTATTGGATCTTGAATAACACTCAGTAGAATTTTAAATGTGTTTAGAGTTGCAACGTTTGTTCCAAGACAAGAGAATTGCTCTCACTTCAGAGAAGCCACGTGACAGGTCTCACTGGGTCACTCTACTGAGGAAGACCAAAGTGACGGGTCGAATTCAAGCTCTAAATGAGAACAATTGTCTTGTGTTGGAACAAAAGTTGTAGCTCTAAACATGTAACTACTAACACAGATGAAATTTTATGATGTTTTCTGAATGTTATGTTACATATGCAAAGTTGTTCAATTTGACCACCAAAGTTTTTTGTTTTGTTTTTTTGCCTACGTGTTCTGTCATTAGGTTGTTGGTGACAGTGATTCTGGGGACGGTACTGATTGTGTTGGCGGTGGTGTTTGGCTTCAGTGGAGACAATCCCATTGCGGTAAGCATTGAGATGGCGCACGTGTAGTGTAAACAGCACATTGAGTAAGACAACTCAAGTACCTGCTATCCATTGTCATATCTGCAATGACCTATGAAAACTGGGAAATCTCTGTCAGGCATGTAATATACGTAAATTTCCAAGTACTTTTAAGCATCTGACGTGGTAACGATATGATTTAAGAATAAGAATGAGATAAGGTTTAAGAACAGTCCTGTACCATCGATGTTGCGGATCCTGAACGCTTGAAAATGAATTAGACGCAATAACTGATATTAGAAGCAATTGACACTAATGTATTATTTTAAAACGTTGTAAATATTTTTTTTTAATGTGTCCTGCACAATATGTACTGTGTGTATGTACAGAAGGCGCAATTCAGCCTGATTGGCTGCAATGTCTTTTATTAATAAACCATGTTGATTGATTGATTGATTGATTGATTGATTGATTGATTGATTGATTATTTTTCTCTGCAGATAGCGACAAGTATAGTTGAGGTCTTGGCCGCCGTCGCACTGGGAGCTGGGATGTTGTCAAACGCCACGAAGATCTGGTCCTTCCTCAGGAAGATGGCGGTCTCTCAGACAGCTCGGCTGGTGGCTCGGACCACGAAACCCAACTTTGACCAGGAGCTGGGATTCATGGCGAAGGTAAGTCCCGCCTGTCTCTCTGCTGATCATAGTCAAACTGTGTCAAACATTTCAAAACTCGAGCGCCATTTTGGAATCTGTTTCAATTCCCGCGAGAGTACAGCCTAACGGGAACCCGCGAGATTTCGCTGTGGACAAGGTAGCAGCACACAGTATTAATGGGCGATGACGCGGGTATAGAAGGTAGTACAGCGAATATTCTTGAAGACTGGGTAGAAAGCCTGATAAGAGCGTCAGCCAAATGTAAATTGTGCTGTGTGGTGTAGGAATGTATCGGGTTTGAGACTGTATGATTTGAATTGTGAAGGTTTTGCAGTTCGTTTATAAATGCGCCGTATGACGCAACTGGCTTTCCGGGTGAGTTGGCTGCAGTTCAGGTCACGTCCGTAGAGGATGATTTCAAAGTGTACGTTACGAGCAAATACGCCGACAGGATTTTTTAGTTTCTAGATATTTTGTAGTTTGTACCTTCTTCTCAAACATATTCGATTTTCGTATTTGTGAAGTGCACCCTACTATAATTTTTACCGCGTCGAAGCGAGTCATCTTGGGCTCCTTAACTATAGAAATCCCCATAGGGCGAAAACTGTGTTCTGCTACCACAAGTGGGTAGAGCATAGTATATTACAGTATCTCGATCTGTCTTGTAAGGAGAAAATCTAACCAACAGCTGCAGTTTAAAGATTCTGTATATGTCTTGATAAGATTCTTTTCTTACTCTCACACAGGTGAAGACGGAAGTGAACGTGATAACGTACCTGTTGCGGTACTTTGAATCAGCCCGTCGGAAGCAGTATCGGGTTATTGTTGTAGTGGATGATTTGGACAGATGTCCCAAAGACAAGGTCATCAAAGTGATCGAGGTAAATCTTCCTCATCATGTTATTAAAAATACTCGCCATTTCTGACAGTAAAACTACCATCTATTTCAACATTATTGTATTGACTACCCTACATGTAAATGTGGTTATCAAAGTGAAACAACCGAACACTACTTTCTACATTGTAAACTTTATTCCAGTCAAAGAAGTACTCTGTTATCATAGTAGAGCTACAGCATCTCAATGACAGTTCCTTATGTTCCCTACTACTTCGAAGGTCCACATCACTCTCACACCTACAAAACTGTGATGTTTTTGATATAGTCCATAACTTCATTTACCGTACGGGTAGATTCTTTTAATTGATAAACCACCAACTTGTCTTGTTTGTATTTATCTTGGTTTTATCCACTTTGTAATTATGCATGTATCTTGTCTATGTGTTTTATACTCGTTGTATGTTTTTGAGTAGAAGGTGTCATATAAGCAAATTTTGTTTTTTTGCCTCATACTCAATAAATATGTGTGAATAAATAAATAAATAAAATACTTGCCTCCTCACCTGTAACAATGGTATCGTAATGCTTGCGATTCAGTCTGACATATACACTCTCAGTAACTACTGGCAGTACTATGTTGATCTGGTGTTCAAACGGTAATGAATTTATTGTTTTTTTATCACTATACCTCATCCCACTGTTTTTACCCATTTATCTACAGTATGTATACATGTCTCTCTGTTTTTAATGTTATGCAAGAATATGGACCTTTGGTGCCTAAAGTAAAAATAAAAAGTACGACATTGCTCATTACACTTTAGGTAAGTTAGATATGATTTTCCTTATAAGACCACAGCAAGTATTTTTTGGATGACATCGGCGTGCATTAATTAATATTCGTCTGATTTTGGAGAAAAAAAATTTGCCCTCTTTTCAACATGCCGAAAATGGGCAAAGATGTCTGTTGCCATGCCGGAACGTGGATGACATATAAATATGAAGAGAGGAGACAACACACATAGGCTCTGATTTATTGTTTTGACGTTTACTTTGATGCAGTGATGTATTTTATTCCTTTTATGTGTTCCCACTGAATCAAAGCCATTTGTGCAAAACTTTTATTTGTCAAAGTTGTTTCAGTGACAAGTGAATGTTGCAATAAGTCGGTAGTAAACTTATACAATATATGTATCATTTCCTGTTTAACAAGGTTTATGATGTCAATATTTGAAATGTAGGAATCTTTTTTTTTTTTGCCCGCCTTGTTTTTTTTCGCCCTATCGCATTAGATTTGGAGTCTGCGGATGATGTCATCCATATAATTTACATGCTTTGGCCTAATGTGTACAAACAATTTCCTGCAGGCGGTGGGCATCCTTCTGTCCGACCCAAACTCCCACTTCATCTCCCTCCTGGCCGTGGACCCCAGGATTGTCGTCAAGAGCATCGAGGAGAGTTTTGGGGAGGTGATGAAGAACTCCAACATTAACGGGTACGCGTAAGATTCTACATTGAACTATCATGAAAGTTCATCTGTGTTGGTAGTTACATGTTTAAAGTTAAAACTTTTGGTCCAACACAAAAATTCTCTCACCTAGAGCTTTCGACCAGTCACTCTGGTCTTCCTCAGTAGACTGGCCCAGTAAAGCTTGTCACGTGGCGTCTTTGAAGTGTGACGTCAACACTGGGTCAAAGGTATCTGGTAGACGATGTCGGCTCCCGTCGCGGTTCAATGAAGGGTGATGGGCCCGAATGTATATTGCTTCCTTCACCCCTCTCAAGAAATAGTGTACTGAGGAAGACCAGAGTGACTGGTCGGTCAAAAGCTCTAGTTGAGAGAATTTTTTGTGTTGGACCAAAATTTTTAACTTTAAACATTCTACATTGAATTTGTCAGTTTCGACACACAGCGTAGTCACACGCTGGCGCCATCGTTTCTAATATAAGGCTTTGAGCGCAACAAGTAACATGCAAGGAAAAACAAAACAGAGGAACATATTCGTCCTTGCAGAAAGAAGATACATGTACCTGTATCAAAACTGTTCTTGGCTTTTTCTTTTTTTCGGAAGCATCGGTGATAGTACATACGGACTGTCTAACAGCTCCTAGACAGCACTTAACTTTCGGAAATAGATTTAATAGATAGATATCTGATCTCCACTGCAGGGGCTTACATATAATAACATGCGTTCCTCCTACCCTTCCCAGTCATGTTTTACGCCTCACCTTGTACTTGTTACCTCCGGGGGAGGAGACATCCTTCCGCGGAAGGGTTTTGTGAGAGATTTAGATTTTCATGTTCGAAGCTGTTTCTCGCGTTTGGGTGGACGGATGCTTTTGAGACTCGGTATATGTTTTCCTATTGGGCTGCAGATGATGCACGTTCTTTTGTTTTTATTGTATATGTGTTTTCGGGCGTGAAAATGGTGCCTCTTGGTGGCCCCAAAACACCCCTTTGAGCGTGAAGGTGGTCACGATCGTTGACCTTTGGCGTGTTTAAGCTATTCTCGGTCTGGTCCACGTATATGACCCCTCACACAGAGGGGTGTCCGGTCTCGATAAATTCTTTGTTTAAAACCCTATAAAAAATATACAATAAAAGGCCCGGAGGTATAAAATCTCAGATTTTACTTGTGTTGAACCTAGGTATGAGTACCTGAAGAAGATGGTTCAGCTGCCCATCTGTCTGCCGGATCCTGGCGCACAGGAGAGAAAACGTTTCCTCTGGGACACGGCAAAGATGTCCGCCACCGAGCGGAAGGTCCTGGTAGTGCAGAAGCAGGAGGCTGGACAAGCAAAGGCGAAGCAGGAAGCCAAAGTAAGCAATATGCATCCTATTGCGAAACTGATAATAATTTTGGAGCGAGCTATAAGCAGTACATTTTAAAACTATATCCGT